AAGAAGACTTTATATTGCTTGTAAGTTTGTAAAACTTTTGTATATAAATCATTTTTTGTAATAACAGTGACTGTAAATCTTGTTTGTTTGTTTGAATCTATGCACAAAGCTACACAATAGGCTATCTGTGCTCTGCCCACCACGGGTATCTAGCGTTGTAAGTCCGCAGACATACCGCTGTGCCACTGGGGGGGGGGATTGTAAATTGTATTATTGTTTGTATATTAAAATATATTTGTATTGAAAAAGAAAACTGTGTGTATCAATCTTGTTGGCAAAATTTCATAAATTGGAGATATATCGGCATTTATTTAACTACTAAATTTAAATGATCATTTAGCTCGGTTTCAGACCATTCGAAATCATAATACGTAACATAGTATTTCAACTACATTATGTTCGTCATATCTATTGTCGATGACAATCCAGAGCTCTTCAGGCCGGCTGGGATACAACGACATACTTATACTGATACCTGTCATGAGATATTCATGCTTCATCAGCTTGTAAAAGTGTTCACACCATAACAACTGTTGTTATAACAAATGACTTACATAAATAATATTCCGACCACTGCTGTGTTCTTTGTATCCTAGCGGGCCCGAAGAGCTCTGGATTGAGCGAAACACGTCATCGACAATGGATATAACGAATACGGTGTGGTTGAAATACTATAATTATACACCTTTCAAATTCTTGAAAATCCCTAAGGGACTAGATTAAGTAAGTAGTGTTAAGAGATATAATAGGTTTAACATAATGTCTCATGACAAGTATAATTGATTGTAATCATCCTTCGCCAGCTTGTAAAAAGGCGTTCACACCGTAATGACTACCTGTAATGTGTGAAGTTCATGTAAAATATAGAAGCAGCGCAATGAAGTCTGAGGTGTACAAAAAAGCGCGAAATAAACTTTTCATTATACCATTATAATAGAAAGCATGATTTTAACATATAACACTGGGGAAGCATATCACAGAGATACCTCTTGTTGTACATAAAAATATCATGTCTATACTTACTTTCATCCTTGTCTTGATCACCAACACACGAAAAAAGTATTGGTGATCAAGACAAGGATGAAAGTAAGTACAGACATGATATTTAAGCAACGTTTCGCGGTTATCAAACACTAAAAAATTTGATAACCGCGAAACGTTGCTTAAATATCATGTCTATACTTACTTTCATCCTTGTCTTGATCACCAACATTTTTTCGTGTTTGATAACCGCGAAACGTTGCTTGGATTTTTTTAGCTGCTTTCGTCAAATCAGGATCATTCAGATCGAGTTCTTCGTTGACCTATGCAAGATAAATAAATGCACATTTTTCACTGGCAACCGAGAACTTTTCACTGTTGTTTATACTTAACATCTTCAAAAAACAGGATTTAAAAGAATACATCACGATACAACGTTTCACCAGTTAACATGACGTCACACGATTACATAAGATAGTATCGACAAGCAGATAGTAAGTAACCGTATTTCAGATAAGCGGTTTTGTTGCTAAGTTACTATCTTATTTGATATAAGGTACGTTACGTATCAGTAATCAAAGAACTTCTAATTTACGTTCCTTTTAAGCTGAGATAATGTACAGACTGATGACCACATAAGCAATGGAAAGAAGTGAATTTTATTTTGCTTTGAAATTGTCTAAACATCAGAGGTAAAATGTGTCATATACGAACTAGGCCTAATAACAGATTGTGTCATATACGAACTAGGCCTAATAACAGATTGTGTCATATACGAACTAGGCCTAATAACAGATTGATACGTACGAACTCCTGTTTATTCGAATGAGGTTCTTTGTGGTCTTCTTCTTGGTTTTTTATTTCCTTCCTCACTTTGTGGCCTCGAAACGACGCTTGGATTTTTGTAGCTGCCTTAGTGAGGTCAGTATCGTTAAGGTCGATGTCCAGTTCTTCAGTTTCTTTAGTTTTCTAATATAATTTACAAAAGAAAGAAATCTGTAACTTGATAATATAAAATTCTAGAACTTTCTATTTAAAAAAAAGGTTGGGATTATTAGTATGCTCTTTCTGATAGTGACATGAATGGCACTTGGTTGTTAAATTCTATTGAACATGTATTTCTAGTCTAATAAGTTGTCCCCTAAAGACGTAATTCTTTTTTTTTCCATAGAGAAAATACATACAATGTTAACCTGTAAAGTGTGTAATTATTTACGGCTTATTAATACTTAATAGTTTTTAAGTAATTATTTTGATCACAAAACACTGTAATTGAAGTATTATTAATGTTTGAAGATATTATACGTATATCAAACAGCCTTTTTTTTTGGCTAGTAATAAACATTTTTAAGTTAATTAGTCTTAAGAAAAAATGGAATCCACCGTCTAAGGTCTGTTTCGTATGGTTGTAGGCTGACCTTAATTAACCCATTGGAATGAAGATTCAGGTATTCGAGTTTCGACAATACAGTTATTGTAATCGATTGTATACGGTGTCTACATAACCTTACAACGGCCATAGCCGACATAGCTACTAATCTTACCCTTCTACAGCTAGCTTATAATACATCTTTATTCCAATATACTGAAATACATCTTTTTCTAAACTGACATGTATATAGTTATGATATATTCGTACATTGGGAGTGTGATAGGTCGTAAACATCCACCAATGTTTTATTTTTTTACATAGTGAAAGGTTACGTGCTGTAACTTCTGTTTCAAGCTAGCATTCACTCGTTTCTATACTGACCTTCTATGAAGGTAGCCTATTCAAACAGGTGACAAGTATTAAAAAAACTGCAAAAATTAAAATGACGTAGGGATGACCGTGCCAAAAGGTACAGGAACAAGGTAGGGATGGATACACAAAACTATACAAAAAAGTGGCTAATAATCATAAGCTTGTCTCAGTATTTACTGGCTACTTATGTAGGAGTAAGACTGTATAGCACTGTTCAGTTTAAATGCTATTATTCAAACCTGAATTCATGTAACTTACAGAAATTTAACATTTAGTTGTAGATAAAAGTTATTCATGGAAAGGTTTGGCTACTTATATAGTGATTTTTGTGTGGTTTCGTGTATTCATTCCTACCTCGTTTCTGTACTTTTTGGCATTGCTATCCCTACGCTCCCCAGTGGCTGAGCGGTATGTCTTCAGACTTACAACGTGGTGGACAAAGCGTAGATAGGGTTGTGTAGCTTTGTGTTTAACTACAACCAACCAACAGCAACCAAGCCATACCTACATCATACTTAATTTTTTATTACTGCTTTCCCCCTTTTTTTAAACAATTTCACTGAAGTAGGTTGATAAGTGAACATTTGTTATATTTTTATAATTTAATGCCAATATATATATATATTGTTAATATCATATCAGCTTTGTAAGTTTCTTTATTACACTTGCAGAATGAACTCAGATATTGATCTATTATTGGCTGGTAATTCCTGTTTCACCCTGTACTTAAGCTTTTTAGAGAACACTATATTTGTCTAAGAAAGCTAACTTCAGGGGGTAATGATAACATCGTTTATACTAGAATTAACTTATTTTTTTAGCTTATAGTAAGCACTATTGTGTTTAATGATAACCCTTTTCAAATGTTCTTAAAATGCCTTTCTGTCATACTAAAGCCATTGCGAAAACTTCACATATTTTTCTGGCTAGCGTGGAAAGAGAAAAGACGAACACTAGCTAGTTCCCAGTTCTACACTTTATCAACACTTTTCAATGATATTGTGAGTCTCACAAGCTGTGAAACATCCAATAATGGCA